TCAGCTTTATTGGGTATTGCTAAGTATGTTTGTCCCTAGTTAAAATTGACAATGCATTTAGGATAGATGTATATTCATATTTATACATTTGTGTATGTGTGTATATGCATGCAAAATGCATCCTGGGTAATCCTAAAGAGATAATCCTCAGTATCCTTTCAAATAGGAATGCAGCAAGATCTTTGAAATGGAGTAATGGAAATTTCCAGGCTAAAAATTAATCCCAAACCAATATAATTTCATTGAAGACACAGGGCCTTCCATGTGATTGACCTTTAATAATGTATATTCACTCTGAATGGAGAGAGAGAGAGAGAGAGAGAGAGAGAGAGAGAGAGAGAGAAAGTCTTCAACAATTTTCCTGCTACCCAAGCCCAGGGTCAAGCTTCACTACATATCTAGTTTCATTACACTGTTTACACACAGTCTGGACTGCCTCACCTGGGGCTTACCTGCAATGGTAGGCAAGCAGTGCTGGGATGGACTGCCAAACCATTGGAAGTACATGTCCAGAAAAAAAAGGCCATAGAAAGTCCTCAAAAAATGCTGATGAAGTAAAATTAATTTCTGAGAATCACTAGTTGAAGAAATAAGTTTGGTTACTTTAAATTCATACTTAACAATGACTTTCCCTTCCCCTTTAAAAATACCTTATAAATTATTCTTTTATTTACCAAAATTGGTTCTAAATGCTTATGAATGATTCCAATATTTTCACCTACCAAATGACATTCAATAGGATGTAAGATTCTGAAGGCTCTAAAAGAAGTGTGCCACCCAGATTTTTTAGCCTAAACTATAGCCTTTCAGGAAAATTCCTTTGTACAAATTCCACACTGTTAAAAAAAAAAAAAATCACCCACCTTACTTAACAATCATACTTTGGAAATTATCAAAACACAAATCTAGATTCTAGCCTCAGTCATCTTCATCCAGTTGGTACATTTCCAAATCCTTCAGGGAACAATCTCTTCTCTGGTATTCACCACAGGTTATTGCTATTGTGGCCACCCGGACCTTTTAGTGTCTTGAGACCCAGCCTTCAGAAGTGGCCCTGAGTAGATTTCATCTGGTGATCCCAGATGATACATCTCAGATCTGTACACACATCATGGAAGCCCCATACCACAGCTTGAACACTGCAGGCTACTCTTTGGATACTCTTTCTCTAGTCCATGGATTCTGAGATATCAAGAATGATACAGCAAAATTAGATGGAATCTTGTAATGGGAGCATTCTCAGCTGGTGTACTGAGTGGTTCCATCCTTTCCATGAACTTTTCACAGTAGAAAAAAAAAAAAAGAAACATTTAAGGCAAGTTTCCAAAGTCCAAAACTTCTGGCCTCTGATTTCACTGAGGCATAGAGACTGCCAAGAAGCAACAGTTAAGAATCATCTCCAGGAACCATCACACCCAAAACCTACTGATAACCTCAACTAATCAGTTTAATCCTAGAAATAAGGAGGGAAAGAAAATAAAATATGTTAAATTCTTATCAGATGCTAATATTATCCTAATATTATCTCATCTATTTCCCACATGTCTGACATTATCCTGACATTTCCTCACAGGTGTGGAAATAGAGACTCAGATTTAGAAACTTGCCCAAGGTATTACAAGTAGTGTAAGTTGGAGCTGTGATACAAAAACAGTCCTTCTTACTGAAAAGTCAACATTCTTCCTACAGAATCATACTATGAGAACAGTTCTCTAAACTGCCTTCAGAGAAAACGAGACACATATATACAGGTGTCCCTGGATCAATTCCAGGTATCATCTCTGAGTTCATTGAGAAACCCCAAAACAGGGGTTACTCAGAGTCTCAGCACAGAGAAAATATTTGATTTTTTAAAAGATTTATTTATTTATTTATTTATTTATTTATTTATTTATTTATTTATACAAGCACTGGGTACAGTCAGAAACGTGGGACGGTGAGAGAATTTACCAGAGCCAGAGCGGGGAGCAGAACAGGTAGACTGACAAAGTACACTGCTGAGGGGAGCAGAGGGCAGCAGGAGAGGTCTGCGCGCTGAAAATATTTGATTCTTATATAGACACAGATCTACTTTGGTCTGAAAGCAAGTACTTTAGGAATTCCCTTTGGACATGATGGGAAGTTAAAGCAAACTACTTTAATTTGAAGAAGGCATCCCTTAAAGAGAATGAGGCATGGAAACAAAATTAAGCTGACATTCAGTAGAAAAATAAAAACTAGGATTTTTACAGGAACAAGTAAAGCTGTTTTTAACATTTTAAGATATAGTGTCCCCCTCGATATAATCCAGTGATTAATAGTCATAAACATCACCAAATGGACTTAAAATCAAAGAACCTAGTAGTTGCTGAGAACCCTGAGCACAGTGGATATAGAATAAGCAGAGGTTGACAAGATGAGCAGAAGAGAGCAAGAAGGAGGCCCAGACCCAGAGAAATGGAGTGGCTGAGACTGTGTCCCTGCTCTGGTCTCCAGGCCTCCCTCTCATTGGACTGAGTGGCCTTGCAGAAGCCAAGCAGGCAAAAGTCTCTGCAGGTGTCAACAAATTGATCGTTAGAAACCATCACTTCCATATGATAGCACCATAACTGTGCTCCAGATTTTGAGCTGAAATGTTCTGGCATGTGTCTATTTGTACCCTGACACTAATAATGCTTTGTGGTTATTATAGAGGGAAAACTGAGCAATTGAGAAGAAAACTTAAGGTCTCACACTGTAACAACTAAAAGTTAGTTGTACAACTCTGTGACTAAAAACCACCTTTAAAGGTACACTTTAAAAGACTGAATTTTCTGGTAGGGGAATCATTATCTCAATAAAATTACTTCTTTTAAAGAATTATTGCCTGTTTAATAATTTATAATGCTTTTGCCAGAGAAGTAGTCTTTCTGCCTTCAAAGATCTACTGTTGCCTCCTAATTTAGTTTTATCAAGTATGATTGAGTGCTCCTATGTAGAAAACCTTGTGCTAGATGTTATAAAATAGTTCTTAAAAGGTGCTGGCAATAATTATATAGTTGTTATTATTATACAGTATATTATTATACTATATATGTATATATAGTATACATAATTATACACTTCTTATATGCCAGGTAGATACTAAGCAATTTCACACTTTAAGTAACCTCTACCGGGTGGTGGATGTTATTATTCCTATTACAAAAATTGGGAAACTAAGGTCTTAGGAACACAGCCAGTGAAAGACAGAACAGAGCTTTGAACTCAAGTCTCCTTAACTCCCACATCTATGCTTGTATCTACTATACTAAACCAGTTAGGAAAAGAAGCAGAATCTGAACACAAAGAGTAATCAGTGAAATTCTAAGAACTGGCAAGTCATAGAAACAGTTTCAAAGTTGTAAACAGAATCCATTAGTTGCAGAAGAAGTGCAGCTTTCAAAATCAGCTTTCCGAATGGATCTCAGTAGGTTGTCTAAGGGTCTGAAAGTCCTCCAGACACAACAGCCATTGCAACAAAACAAGCATAACAAATGCACACACATGACAATGACCATGCCATCCAAAGGGCAACATGACGTCTGCTCCAGGACCTCCTGACTGTGAGAGCAATGGCTATATCTCAGTGGTATACCCACTAACATTAGGTGAACACTCACTCATTCTAAATGTTTTCTAAGTTCTGGGTACTGTCTAGATGATGGGATGAATAAGATATGATGGGTCCTTGAAGGAGCACCCGAATAGGAATTATGCTGTCACTTTCTCGCTGTGATTTTAAACAAATTATTAATTTCTCTGTTTTTGTTTTCTTATCTGTAAAATAATAATGACAACAACACCGACCTTATTCTATTGTGAAGAATAGGTAAGTATATAAAACCATCATTTGAGGAGATTGTAAGCACTTGATGATACCTGCTCCTCTCATCTCCTGCTGATGAAGTACAGCAAAGCTGATTCTCTCTGCCTGGTTCAGCTCTCTGATTATTTCTCCTTCCCTCAGGTATTATATCTGACATACTTTATGTATATAAATGACATTTTCTCAAGGGTCCAGGCCCAAAGCTACCTGATCGCAGGATAGGTAGAGGCTGGAAGAAACCCACTTTAATTTCCTCCTAAATACTTTCGAAAACACTAATGATATGAATAACCTATTGATATACTTTTATAGACTAGAAAGGAGCCTCATAGAGTCAAAGATATGCTTCTTTCCTTCCTGGCTGACAGCTCTCCCTGTGTTTCTCTTTTCATGTTTTGTGTGTTTGGGTAGGAATGACACTCCTGTTAACAGTGCATAATCTTTGCATAATAGGTACATGTAGTAGATATACAGAGGTAGTATGTATGTGTGTGTGGGTACACACGTGTATAACATGTATGTGTTAGTATAAATGTATGTTTATATGTATGTATGTGTAAAAATTAATGATATATTCTAGTATAACGATTAAGAGAAAGAACATTATGATAGATATGGGTTCAAATCCTTATTCCTCCAGCTATGAGCTGTGTCACCTTAGAGGGGATTCTAATGCTCTCTGAACCTGTTTCTTCATCCGTAAAATGGGATAAACAATAAAAATCTCAGAGAAATGTTTTGAATATTAATGAGATGCTCGGTGAAAAGTATTCAGCACAATATCTAGCACAAAGTAAATTCTCAAAAAATGGTAGTGGTGGGCCAGGCTCATTTTCAATTAAATAAGAATTTATAGCATGTCTTTCAAGTGTCTTACACTGTGCTACTTTTTGTGGGTACAACATAAAGGGAATGAATAACATGACTCCTCTAAAACAGTCTCTGCTTTTAACAAGTTTATGACCCTGAAAAAAAATATCCTCCAATATGTCCTCATATTGGAAGGAGGGCCGGTACCAGCCTTTCTGCAATCAACTCAAAAATAGAATGTGAAGAAGTAGGAAGGTAAACACGAGGAAATGAATCAGTTCATCCCACAGAGGGCAGCACCCACAAACAAGGGCAGCTATATAAGGGCCACTATTTCAATCCATTGTCACCCTGCAAGCTGCATCAGGCTTTATCCTACTTGTTCCTTTGGTGAACCAGGTGAGAACAAATTCATCCAGCTACATTTATGGATACTTAATTGGTTGTTGTCCATGGCAGGAATCCAGGAGTCTGAGCTAAGGCAGAGTTAATATATATTTGGCCTTTGATTTTTGTTTCTTTCTTTTTCATTTTGTTTGTGTATTTGTTTGGTTAGCTTAGTTTATTCTGGAATCTCTTTAGAACAAATTCATCATTGCAGAGAAGACTAAAGCAATTAGAAGTTTTCCTTCTTCTGGGTGAATCCACAGTCTCCTCCTAGTCTTAATCTGCATGCCATCTTTTCTGTGTTTTCCAGCATGAATAGGGAGAGGTCAGCACTATCCTTGTACACTATCACTATCCTTGTATAGCACCAGTTCCCAAAGCTCCAAACTTTAATCATCCACTAGTCAAACGATTGCCTGTATTGCTGAGCATTTTCCTCTGGCTAATGAGGAGAACAGTAAATTCCTGAGCACTGATGAGATCTGCATCACCATGCTTCTAAAGAAATAGTGCTGGCACACTCTGCTTATTTCTTATTTGCTGAAGGTCTTAACAGCACAGTTTAACTTCTAGCACCCAGAGGGGAAGTAGGTATGCATGATAGAAGGTCCGTCACTTGTGACTCAAGAAAAGCAGTGCAACAAGCGAGAGAGACTAAGGAGTATATATGGGTGATTCTGAAACGTTGGAAGCTTCAGAACACCAAAGTACACAAAGCATGGAGACATTTTACATAGACTATATTCACCCAGGACATGATGATCTGAGGTCTAGTCCCAGTTTGACTGGCAACATACCATCACTTGATTTTAGGAAAGTAACTCAAAGTTAACAAAATTTATTCCCACAGTGTAGATGTTGTATCATCCCTGACCCATCCTCACTTGTTGAGGTATTTCAGGTTTAAAAGGGACAAGAGATTTAAAAATCTCTTGATGACTAATATTAAAATCAGAATTTCTTATAAATTAAAGGAAAAAAGTTAATAATAAGATCTTCTTTATTTATCTCTTCAGATTCTCTTAAACTTGCAAAAAGATGACCAACCTCTTGAGAAGTGTTGTCACTGTCATAGATGTCTTCTACTCATATACCAACCAAGATGGAGAATGTGGCACACTGAGCAAGGATGAGCTAAAGGAACTTCTGGAAAAAGAGTTTCGTCCAATTCTGAAGGTAAGAACCATGTGCTGCAAAGGTTCAGTGCTTCTAATGTTATATTACACAAGATTAGGTAAAAAGTGCACAGTCTCAATGGTCTTTGAGAAAACTCTATAAGCAGTGTGTTTGGGACACTGGAAAGTCTATTGAGACAGTATTGATTTTTAGAAAGGAAAATGTTTTCCCCTTACTTTCCTGTGCACTTCCATCATGTAGACTCCAGACTTTTTCATGCCCTCAGGCTTCCCCTTCTGAAAAAAACAGAACATAAATTTTTGCTAAGACATAAATAAATCGCTCTGTCAAAAAAAGGAAGAAAACATAAATATAGGACTCAATTATTAAGTTAAAAATTCTACATCCTAACATAGTATATGCATGTAATGTTTGATATTTGCATAAAACTGAAATATAGCAGATATTGAATTTGTTTTTTTCTTACTCCTTTCTAAAAGCCATAACTGAGTGTATAATCTTCTAGTTCTCTTCTTGGAGTCTTATTTTTTATTTGCTCTTCACATGTGCTGGGTTGCATTAGCTCCCTTCACCTAAAGTAATCCTTGATAGAATGAAAAACACCTAAAGTCAGACACCCACAATTCCACAGATGAGGTGAGTGTGTGAGCAAAGCTGATAAGTTCTTCTTTGGTGTATTACTTGCACACAGAACCCAGATGATCCAGATACAGTGGATGTCATCATGCATTTGCTGGATCGAGATCATGACCGAAGACTGGACTTTACCGAGTTTCTTCTGATGGTATTCAAGCTAGCTATGGCTTGCAACAAGGTTCTCAGCAAGGAATACTGCAAAGCTTCAGGGTCAAAGAAGCGTAGACGTGGTCACCGACACCGAGAGCAAGAAAGTGAAACAGAAGAGGAAGAAGAGGATACATCAGGACAACAATCAGGTTACAGATACTCAAGTTGGCGTGAAGGAGAGGAGCATGGTTATAGTTCTGAGGGCTCAAGGGGGACTGTGAAACATAGACGTGGATCTGTCTCCAGGAGGCTGGGAAGACAAGGTGGTTTATCTAGCTCAGGTAACCAAGAGGGAGCTGAGAAAAGGCGCCGTGGGTCTAGCTCTGGTCACTCATGGAGTAGTAGCAAAGAAAGACATGATTCCACCTCTGGAGAACTGGAGGGGGAAAAAAACGAGTCCCGTAGCCCTTCTAGGGGCTCTTGGGAGGATTATGAATATGGATCTAAAAGTGGGGGGAAGAAAGGTAATGGTGGTCTATCACAAGGATTGGAGGTTAGTAGACATGAATCAAACTCTACTCAGTCAAGAAAGAGTGGAGGAAAAAAGTCTGAATCTAGCTCTAGTGTTTCAAGTGACAGTGAAAGGCAAAGCCAAGCATGTGGCTCCAGCAATTCAGGGGGCTGTGGAAGTCCACAAAATGCTTCTAGTTCTTGTCAGACAGGTAGATTTGGAGGACAAGGAAATCAATCTAACTGCACCTATTCAGGCTGTCAGTCAGGAAGTAGTGGAGGACAAGGTCATGGTTGTATCTCAGGAAGTCAGTCCTGTGGTTATCATCAACATAAGCCTAGCTCATGTAGTCAGTCTTCTAGCTCAAGGGGATGTGGATCTAGAGCATGTAGTCAACCTCAGAACTATGGAGGACAACAAGGAACAGGTTCTTGTTGTGGACAATATGGGTCTGGAGCAAGTCAGTCTTCCAGTTCTGGTCAACATGAGTCTGGTTCCTGTGGACACTCTAATCCAAAAAGGTCTGGTTCTAAATGTTGCCAACATGGGTCTGGATCAGGTCAGCCCTCTTGCTGTGGCCAACATGGGTCTGGATCAGGTCAGTCCTCTTCCTGTGGCCAACATGGGTCTGGATCAGGTCAGTCCTCTTGCTGTGGCCAACATGGGTCTGGATCAGGTCAACATGAATCTGGGTCGGGTCAGTCCTCTAGCTCTAGACAACATGGGTCTGGCTCAGGTCAATCCTCTGGTTCTAGTCAAGAGACAAGGTCAGGTCAGTCCTCTGGTGCTGGTCAACATGGGTCTGGCTCAGGTAAACATGAATCTGGCTCAGGTCAATCCTCTGGTTCTAGACAACATAGATCTAGCTCAGGTCAATCCTCTGGATCTAGACAACATGGGTCTGGCTCAGGTCAGTCCTCTGGTTCTAGTGAAGGGTCCAGCTCAGGTCAGTCCTCTGGTGGTAGTCAACATGGGTCTGGTACAAGTCAACATGAATCTGGCTCAGGTCAGTCCTCTGGCTCTAGACAACATGGATCTGGCTCAGGTCAGTCCTCTGGCTCTAGACAACATGGGTCTGGGTCAGGTCATTCATCCGGTTCTAGAGAGGGGTCCAGCTCAGGACAAGCCTCTGGCTCTAGACAGCATGGATCTGGCTCAGGGCAATCCTCTGGCTCTAGACAACATGGATCTGGTTCAGGTCATTCCTCTGGTTCTAGTGAAGGGTCCAGCTCAGGTCAGCCCTCTGGCTCTAGACAACATGGGTCTGGCTCAGGTCAGTCCTCTGGTTCTAGTGAAGGGTCCAGCTCAGGTCAGTCCTCTGGTGGTAGTCAACATGGGTCTGGTACAAGTCAACATGAATCTGGCTCAGGTCAGTCCTCTGGCTCTAGACAACATGGATCTGGCTCAGGTCAGTCCTCTGGCTCTAGACAACATGGGTCTGGGTCAGGTCATTCATCTGGTTCTAGAGAAGGGTCCAGCTCAGGACAAGCCTCTGGCTCTAGACAGCATGGATCTGGCTCAGGGCAATCCTCTGGCTCTAGACAACATGGATCTGGTTCAGGCCATTCCCCTGGTTCTAGTGAAGGGTCCAGCTCAGGTCAGCCCTCTGGCTCTAGACAACATGGGTCTGGCTCAGGTCAGTCCTCTGGTTCTAGTGAAGGGTCCAGCTCAGGTCAGTCCTCTGGTGGTAGTCAACATGGGTCTGGTACAAGTCAACATGAATCTGGCTCAGGTCAGTCCTCTGGCTCTAGACAACATGGATCTGGCTCAGGTCAGTCCTCTGGCTCTAGACAACATGGGTCTGGGTCAGGTCATTCATCCGGTTCTAGAGAGGGGTCCAGCTCAGGACAAGCCTCTGGCTCTAGACAGCATGGATCTGGCTCAGGGCAATCCTCTGGCTCTAGACAACATGGATCTGGCTCAGGTCATTCCTCTGGTTCTAGTGAAGGGTCCAGCTCAGGTCAGTCATCTGGTGTTAGTCAACACGGGTCTGGCTCAAGAGAACATAAATCTGGCTCAGGTCAGTCCTCTGGGTCTAAACAACATGGATCTGGCTCAGGTCAATCTTCTGGCTCTAGACAACATAGGTATGGGTCAGGCCAGTCTTCTGGTGCTGACCCACAAGGGTCTGGCTCAGGTCAGTCCTCTGGAATTGGCCAACATGGGTCAAGCTCTAGTCAGTCCTCTGGTATCGGACAACATGGATATGGCTCTGGTCAAACTTCTGGCACTAGAGAACATCAGTCTAGTTCAGGGAAGTCCTCTGATATTAAACAACAGGAAATAAACTCAGGTCAATCCACTAGTAATAGACAACATGAGTCTGGTTCAGGTAATTTGCCTAGTTTGGATCAAAATGGCTGTAGCTCAAGTCAATCCTCGGGGTATAGTCCAAACAGTACTGCACCAGGTCAGTCCTCAAAGTCTAGACAACATAGATCAGGAGATACTACGAGATATTCCCAATCTACTCACGGACAACACACACATACAGAATCCAGACCAAGTGAAAGAAGAGAATCCACTCACAGTGAGTCTTGTGACAGTGAGGGGCATTCTGGAGTATCACAGAGAAACTCAGGATCCACTCATGGCCATGGAGGAACTCAGCAGAGAGAATCAGTTTCGAAAAGTAGAGGGAGACAGGGAACTACACATGGACAGTCAGGAGATGCAACTAGACATACCCAGTCTGGCCAAGGACAATCCACAAAATCAAGGTCCAGTAGTGGAAGAAGGGGATCTAGTCAAAGTGAGTCAAGTGACAGTGAAAGTCACTCAGGAGTACCTCAGAGACACGCAAGTTCTAACCATGGGCATACAAGATCTCAGCAGGGAGAATCAGGATCGACAGGTAGAGGGAGACAAGGAACTACAAATGAGCTGTCAGGAGATAAATCTAGACATGCCCGTTCTGGTCATGAATTATCCAGAAAATCAGGGTCTACTAGTGGAAAAAGGGGATCTAGTGAAAGTCGGTCAAGTGACAATGAAAGGCATTCAGTAGTCTCTCAGAGACACTCAGGATCAACACAGGGCCATGCAGAAATTCAGCATAGAGAATCAGGATCGACAGGCAGAGGGACAGCAGGAATCACACATGGACAGTCAGGAGATATCACAGGGAATGCACAGTCTGGCCATGGACAACCTACACACTCAGGATCCAGTACAAGTGGAAGAAAGGCATCCGGTCACAACGAGTCTAGTGACAGTGAGAGGCTATCAGACGTCTCCCAGAGGCACTCAGGCTCCACACATGGCCAAACAGAATCTCAGCAGGGAGAGTCAGGATCACCAGGTAGCAGCAGGCACAGAATCACTCATGGACAAGCAGGAGATACAGCTAGACAGGCCCAGTCCAGTCATGGGCAGTCTGCAAAATCAGGGTCCAGAGGTGGAAGAAGGGCATCTAGTCAAAGTGAGTCAAGTGACAGTGAAACGCACTCGGGAGTCTCTCAGAGACACTCAGGTTCCACTCGTGGCCATGCAGGATCTCAGCAGGGAGAGTCAGGATCTACAGTAAAAGGAAGACAGGGAACCACTCATGCACAATTAGGAGAAACCACAGGGCATACACAGTCTGGCCATGGACAATCTACACACTCAGGGTCCAGTACAACTGCAAGTAGAGGTTCTACTCCTAGCCAAGCCAGGGACAGTCAGAGGCACTCAGGAAGCTCCCAAACACAGTCAGGAACTACTCATGGCCATTCCGGATCTCAACATGGAGAGTCAGGTTCCACAGCTAAAGGAAGACAGGGAGCTCATGGACAGTCAGGAGATACCACTAGACACTCCCAATCTACTCATGGGCAAACCACACATTCAGGATCCAGTAGTGGAAGAAGGTCATCCAGTCACAGCGAGTCTAGTGACAGTGAGGGACATTCTGGAGTCTCACAGAGACACTCAGGATCTTCCCATGGCCATGTGGGATCTCAGCAGAGCGAGTCAGGATCAACAGGTCACGGGAGACATACAAGCAGTCATGGACAAGCAGGTGACACAACTAGCCATGCCCAGTCTGGTCATGGACAATCTACAAAATCAGGGTCCAGAGGTGGAAGAAGGGCATCTAGTCAAAGTGAGTCAAGTGACAGTGAAACGCACTCGGGAGTCTCTCAGAGACACTCAGGTTCCACTCGTGGACATGCAGGATCTCAGCAGGGAGAGTCAGGATCAAGTGGTAGAGGGAGACAGGGCACTACTCATGGACAGTCAGGAGATACAACTAGACACTCACAATCTACTCATGGACAGAGCACACATTCAGGGTCGAGTACAAGTGGTAGAAAGGCACCCAGTCACAGCGAGTCTAGTGACAGTGAGGGGCATTCTGGAGTCTCACAGAGACACTCAGGATCCACTCGTGGCCATGCAGGATCTCAGCAGGGAGAATCAGGATCAAGTGGTAGAAGGAGACAGGGCACTACTCATGGACAGTCAGGAGATACAACTAGACACTCACAATCTACTCATGGGCAAACCACACATTCAGGATCCAGTAGTGGGAGAAGGTCATCCAGTCACAGCGAGTCTAGTGACAGTGAGGGACATTCTGGAGTCTCACAGAGACACTCAGGATCTTCCCATGGACATGCTGGATCTCAGCAGAGTGAGTCAGGATCAAAAGGTCATGGGAGACATACAAGCAGTCATGGACAAGCAGGTGACACAACTAGCCAAGCACAGTCTGGCCACGGACAATCTACAAAATCAGGGTCCAGAGGTGGAAGAAGGGCATCTAGTCAAAGTGAGTCAAGTGACAGTGAAACACACTCAGGTGTCGCTCAGAGACACTCAGGTTCCACCCAAAGCCATTCTGGATCTCAACATGGAGAATCAGGATCAAGTGGTAGAGGGAGACAGGGCACTACTCATGGACAGTCAGGAGATACAACTAGACACTCACAATCTACTTGTGGACAGAGCACACATTCAGGGTCCAGTACAAGTGGCAGAAAGGTACCCAGTCACAGCGAGTCTAGTGACAGTGAGGGGCATTCTGGAGTCTCACAGAGACACTCAGGATCCACTCGTGGCCATGCAGGATCTCAGCAGGGAGAATCAGGATCGACAGGCAGTGGTAGACATACAAATACTCATGGACAAGTAGGGGACACAACTGGCCATGGCCAGTCTGGTCATGGACAATCCACAAAATCTGGGTCCAGTAGTGGAAGAAAGGCATCTAGTCAAAGTGAATCAAGTGACAGTGAGAGGCACTCGGGAGTCTCTCAGAGACACTCAGGTTCCACTCGTGGCCATGCAGGATCTCAGCAGGGACAGTCAGGATCCACAGTAAAAGGAAGACAGGGAACCACTCATGGACAATCAGGAGATACCACAGGGCATGCACAGTCTGGCCATGGACAATCTACACACGCGGGGTCCAGTACAACTGCAAGTAGAGGTTCTACTCCTAGCCAAGCCAGGGACAGTCAGAGGCACTCAGGAAGCTCCCAAACACAGTCAGGAACTACTCATGGCCATTCTGGATCTCAACATGGAGAGTCAGGTTCCACAGCTAAAGGAAGACAGGGAGCTCATGGACAGTCAGGAGATACCACTAGACACTCCCAATCTACTCATGGGCAAACCACACATTCAGGATCCAGTAGTGGAAGAAGGTCATCCAGTCACAGTGAGTCTAGTGACAGTGAGGGACATTCTGGAGTCTCACAGAGACACTCAGGATCTTCCCATGGCCATGTGGGATCTCAGCAGAGCGAGTCAGGATCAACAGGTCACGGGAGACATACAAGCAGTCATGGACAAGCAGGTGACACAACTAGCCATGCCCAGTCTGGTCATGGACAATCTACAAAATCAGGGTCCAGAGGTGGAAGAAGGGCATCTAGTCAAAGTGAGTCAAGTGACAGTGAAACGCACTCGGGAGTCTCTCAGAGACACTCAGGTTCCACTCGTGGACATGGAGGATCTCAGCAGGGAGAGTCAGGATCAAGTGGTAGAGGGAGACAGAGCACTACTCATGGACAGTCAGGAGATACAACTAGACACTCACAATCTACTCATGGGCAAACCACACATTCAGGATCCAGTAGTGGGAGAAAGTCATCCATTCACAGCGAGTCTAGTGACAGTGAGGGACATTCTGGAGTCTCACAGAGACACTCAGGAACTTCCCATGGACATGCTGGATCTCAGCAGAGTGAGTCAGGATCAAAAGGTCATGGGAGACATACAAGCAGTCATGGACAAGCAGGTGACACAACTAGCCAAGCACAGTCTGGCCATGGACAAGCTACAAAATCAGGGTCCAGAGGTGGAAGAAGGGCATCTAGTCAAAGTGAGTCAAGTGACAGTGAAACACACTCAGGTGTCTCTCAGAGAAACTCAGGTTCCACACAAAGCCATTCTGGATCTCAACATGGAGAATCAGGATCAAGTGGTAGAGGGAGACAGGGCACTACTCATGGACAGTCAGGAGATACAACTAGACACTCACAATCTACTTGTGGACAGAGTACACATTCAGGGTCGAGTACAAGTGGTAGAAAGGCACCCACTCACAGCGAGTCTAGTGACAGTGAGAGGCATTCTGGAGTCTCACAGAGACACTCAGGATCCACTCGTGGCCATGCAGGATCTCAGCAGGGAGAATCAGGATCGATAGGCAGTGGCAGACATACAACTACTCATGGACAAGCAGGGGACACAACTGGCCATGCCCGGTCTGGTCATGGACAATCCACAAAATCTGGGTCCAGTAGTGCAAGAAAGGCATCTAGTCAAAGTGAATCAAGTGACAGTGAGAGGCACTCAGGAGTCTCTCAGAGACACTCAGGTTCAACTAGTGGCCATGCAGGATCTCAGCAGGGACAGTCAGGATCCACAGTAAAAGGAAGACAGGGAACCACTCATGGAGATACCACAGGGCATGCACAGTCTGGCCATGGACAATCTACAAACGCGGGGTCCAGTACAACTGCAAGTAGAGGTTCTACTCCTAGCCAAGCCAGGGACAGTCAGAGGCACTCAAGAGGCTCTCAGACACAGTCAGGAACTACTCATGGCCATTCCGGATCTCAACATGGAGAGTCAGGTACCACAGCAAAAGGAAGACAGGGAGCTCATGGACAGTCAGGAGATACCACTAGACACTCCCAATCTACTCATGGGCAAACCACACATTCAGGATCCAGTAGTGGAAGAAGGTCATCTAGTCACAACGAGTCTAGTGACAGTGAGGGACATTCTGGAGTCTCACAGAGACACTCAGGATCTTCCCATGGCCATGTGGGATCTCAGCAGAGCGAGTCA